TGGGGCTGGCTGCAGCCAGGAGGCTGCAAACAGCTGCTGCCTCCCCAGCCCCAACACGGGCCGAGGAAAATGGCCTTGCATGCCATGCTCGGCATGCGTGCCAGGGGTTGCCGACCCCTGTCCTAGCACCTGGCAATGATTTAATGCACATTAACTGAAGCATGATACAGTCAATCATCTTTATATCAGTGCCAATCTGATATTGGACCAGTGTATCGGTGCACCTCTAATGACAATGAATTCTTGGAGGAAAGAGGTATTGGTAGCTATTGAGCATGGGAGTGAGGGGCATAGCCTCTGAATCAGAACTTCCTAGACCTTAAATGCTGGAGGCTGCAAGTGAGAGAGGAACAGTGAAAATAAGCCCTGGCCATACCCTGCTCACTCTCCATTTCAGCATCCCCTCTCTGCCACTGTGTGACAGGATACTGGGCAAGATGGACCTATGGTCTGACCCAATAAATAGCAGTTCTTATGTTCTTGTTATGTTCTCAGCTCTGTGTCATCCATGAGCTCTTCTCCTTACATAGAGCTGAAATAGCAGAATGAGAAGATGGGCCTGGATTGATTGAGACTAAAGGGGAAAGGAGGAAAAGGAAGATATGGAAAGAGTCAGTTTAGTCTAGCAAAACCCGAGAGAAAGACCCGAGATGTGAGATGAGGGCTGCTGGGCCTTAGCCAGTGGGCCTGTAAGTGTGCCAGTCAACTGAGGCCACATGACCCATCACTAACCCCTCTCCCACCACTGGATGGAACCAAAACTTTTTACCATTACATGTGACAGCCACATCCTCATAGTGGTAGCAGTTGTGGATGCCCCATCCGTGGCTTCCGCACTCACTCAGGGCTGCCTCCCTCCCCTTGCAGTCCACATTATCCAGGAAGATGGGCCCGCTCCCCTGGCCAAAGGTGAGGGTAGCTGGCATGGCGACGGCATGGCCGCAACCCAACTGGCGACACACCACATTGGCATCCACGATGTCCCAGTCATCATCGCATACTGTGCCCCAGGAGCCATTGTAGAGGATCTCCACACGCCCCTGGCAGCGGCTTTGCCCTTTGACTAGCCGCACCTCTGCAAGGAAGGGCACAGGGACAAGGTCACCACAAGATGGCCACTGGGCAGCAGCCTAGGCACTTGACTAATTAGATGCAAATGTAACCACCAAATGTGCACCAAATCATAGGCCTCTGCCACTTAAGGCAAAGGAGCAGCTCCAGTAGCTATGAGGAGCAGTGCTCTGATATCAATGTTTGTGTTGGCTTAGATCCTGGTGTGTGGGTTTTTAGGCAAGGATAGCGAACACTTATGCACATCTATCTTGGCATGCCTGTTTGCAGGGGGCATACCCCTCGCATCTTCAAAGCTCCCAGGGGTTAGGAATTTAACCAGCTAGAGAAGAAAAACTGTGTCATGGGATTTTAGTCACAAGTCACCTGGTGCCATCAGCAACTTGCTAATACTCTTAGCAAACCCGTTTCAGGATAATCCCCATGCTGAAATCAGTCACAAATAAAGGGTTGTTCAAGCCAGTGGGAATAGATAGCACATCTGTATAAATGGCTCTGTGTTTGCACTGCCAGCTTATTCATTCATTAGGATCCTGCAGTAAAGTGCTGTCCATCAGACACAGCCTGGTTCACTTTCAGGAAGCCAGCAACAGTGGTCAAATTCCCCTCTGATTTGCAATAATAAGTGGGACTGTTCAGGAAAGGATTATTCCCTTCCACAAAGAAACATGGGTTTTCACTGACATTTTCAATTTAAAACCCACTTGGGGGAAACTCAAATTTTCCTTGCCAAACATTTCTTTTTCATTTAATCTGTGATGAAATCCCACAGGTCAGCGATGCCCCATGAAATCATAGCTCTAAGGATCAGGTCTTACCTGGAAACGGCAGTGGGGTAGTTTCCAATATGTTGCCTGAAATTAAGAAGAAAAGGGATAAGCCATCCATTGTATTCTGAGAGGACAGAGAGGGGAGAAGGTTGTCAGACAAGTGACACTCAATTGTTTCATAGCCTCTTCCTGAACCATGTGATTGCCGAAAGAGGTGAGCACTGGGCTGACCCAGCAGAGACGTGAACTTCACCCCAAATGAGAGCAGTTGATTGGTGGCATAGACTGACGTCACCCTTGCTTTGGCCACTCCTGCCTTAAACAAGGCACAAGAGCTGGTCTCAGAATCTCAGGGCACCTGACTCATCCACTTACCTGTCTCTTCCCTTTTCCACAAAGCTCTGAGGTCTGAAAAAAAGAACAGGGGAGAAAGATTTTGAAAGGGAGAGAACAGCTGGTGTCAAAGGGGGGCAGTGGGGAACATACAAAAGCAGATTTTTTACTTCTCAGTCTACGAAATGGGTATAATGAAACTGAGCACCTTTATAAAGTGTTTTGAGATCTACTGTTGAAAAATGCTGGGTAAGAGCTAGGCCAGTAACCTTGGCAATCTGTCTAACTATGCATGGATCACTTTGCCCACTGCTGGATGCAGCCACCTCTAGGGAGTGAGGTGGCAGGCTGTAAACCACACAAGGCACAAGAAAGACGTGCAAACCACTGGAGAACCACTGGAATTTGGCCATGGCATGTGGATTAATGCCCCCTAAATTTCCAACCCTCCTGGCTGCATTGGAAAAGCTGGAAAACCAGACTTCAAAAGGCTCGTAAATGAGAGGGACAATGAAAAAAAAATTTGTTTTCACTCCCCACCCTAATTTCCTTGTTTTGAAGTCAATCCGGTTCATTCAGAGGGCAGGTGGAGAGCGAGCTCACTGTTCTGGGGAGTGTGGTGTTGACTGTATTGCCTGCCTCACTTGCAAAGGTGGAGGGGTGCGAACTGTGTTGGGAGGAATCTGAGTTATTGTTTTCCAGCAGTTTCATTGTCAGTGCTCACCCTGAGTGCAGTATGGTACATTGGAAGGCAAAGTGCTAACTGCTTTAGCATTGCTGAGATTGGGCATGTCTACACAAGATGCTTTACTGCGCATTAGACTAAACCAATGTGCAGTAAAGCATCACCATCTACATTTGCGCAGGACTTACTGCACAGTAAATGAGGCTAATGCACTGTTTGCAAGTACCAGGAAACACAGGCACTAGATTAACCGTGCATTAGCTACTGTGCAGTAGCACACGTGTAGTTGTTGACTGGGAGCAAACTGTGCAGGCAGCAAGAGGGTCCACTGCTGCCTGGCTAAGCCCTGATTTGGTGGGGGAAGCTGTGCTGGCTGCTGGGGCAGCTGTCTCCCCACCACGTGCCCTGATCCCCACATAGCCAGAAAAGCAGTCCCGGTAGGTGGGACTGCTGTGAACCAGCTACGTGGAGCTGGGGTCAGGACCTGATTCCCATGTGGCCAGGAGAGATGGCCGAGCAGCCACACGGGGATCAGAAGTGGGGGGATGCTACCTGCTTAGCAGGGATGCTGCCTGCCAGCCACGTGGGGATCAGGAGGGTCACATGGCTGGCAGGCAGCAATCCCCACATGGATCCTGATCCCCACGTGCCTGGCAGGCAGTGTTCCTGATGAGTGGAGATGGCTCTCCCAGCCACGTGAGGATCAGGACCAGCGCTCATGCCTCCTGCCAGCCCCAGGGCTGCCCCCCCCCCCCCCCCCTGGAGAGCCTGGAGCTCCCCCTGGCTGTTGTAGGGGGGCAGAGCAGGGCAGGAGCAGCCCTAGATGGGGCTGCTCCTGTCAGGCACAATTTGGTCCCGAGCATGGTGCACGTGTAGATGTGAGCCCTGGAGCACTTCAATGAGCCTGAATTTTCTGCAAAAAAAATTCAGATGCATTCATTGCACATGTAGACACACCCACTGAGTTATAAGCCTTCCTTAACTGGCATGAAACAGCAGTGCCCAGAAAGAGCAAATATCAGCAGAGAAAGCTGGGAGAATCATTCAACAACAAATTAGTTGGATCCCAGCAAGGGCCCTTGCAAAACTGTCCCCCCCATGTCTTGGCTCCATGCAGAATGAGGCAGGGCAGCTTAGACCTTAAGACTGGCTGATTTATAAGAGATGAAAGGTACTGTGATACTTGGAAGTTTTTCTACATCTGCCCTAACCATGGAGATAGTCCAAAAAAGATAACTCCCATAAAAAACTCTTGCCTCTAGCATATTTCCTGGACCACTGTGTCTACAACATCACTTTAGCACTACTCTTTACAAGGGTTGTTTGAAACCTTGCCTGCAGGTAGCTGTAAGATGCGACTGATGGCCCCTGTATAAGCAATGCAACAGTGACACCCAGAGGATAAGATGGTCAATGGCCACAATGCTGAGCCCTGCATCTTGCATCTTAAGGAGTTATCTACACCCTAGAAAAGCAGGATGAACCCATGCTGAACCATGATATGGGACTCTTTGTGCCTCTCTGGCAGTACACAGAGGTGGGAGTGCCCATGGATCCTCTCAGCTGGTGCCAGAGGGCACATGTCCAGCCCTCTGCACAGACACAGGATGCACTGTTCCTAAACCAGCACAGGAAGATGCCAATCTATAGCCGATGCAGAAACATCAGCTCCTGTGAAACACTGAAGCTGCTGTCATGAACAGTAACTTAACTTAACAGTAACTTAAAGGTGACCTGAAATGGGGTAAAACTCATCAAGCCCCTGCTTTGCTGTGGTTACAAATATGTCCTGGAAGGTTTTAAAGTCAGTCACAAAAGGGCTTTTATGATGGGAGAAATTCAAAATTTCTCCACCCTAGGGGCCAAAAAAGAAGTGGTGAAATGACAGTGTTGTTATCATTACTACTGTATTTATTACCTAGGGAGCCTTGGCCAGGACAGAGGCATTGCATGAAGCTCTGTGTGCACACAGAACCTGACCATCTCTGTCCCAAAGCACTTTCAAGCTAAATAGGCAGGAGGCCCAGAGAGATCCACTTCTTGATCTGAGGGGCAGTTTGCAAGGGCTCAGCGCACACAACTCAGACCAGATGTTCAAAAGAATTCAGTTCTCCACTTGGAAACTAAAGCAGAGGCCAGGTCTCAAGTTGCAGCAAGGGAAGTTTAGGTTAGATATTAGGAAGAATTTTCTCACTAGGAGGGTAGTAAAGCACTGGAATAGGTTATCCAGAGAGCTGATAACCATCCCTGGAGGTTAGACAAAACTTTGGCTGGGATGATTTAGTTCGGGCTGGTCTTGCTTTGAGTAGGGGGTTGGACTAGATGACCTCCTGAGGTCCCTTCCAGCCCTTTCTATGATTCTGTCCCCAGTACCTACAAAATGTTTGCTGGAGAGGACATATTTGTTTAAGATCCCCTTAAATCAATGTATGGGAACTTGAAGTATACATTTGAACTATCTGAAGCAACTTTCAGGAAAACCAAGCAAGACCAGAACCTCGCACACCTGGAATTTCCAGCAGAAAATGGTATTTTGAGAGGGGAAAAAAATCATCTAGGCTTTTTCTAAAGATCTTAACAAAGCAAAAAATAAAAAAAAATAAAAATGGCCGGGGGGGGGGGGGGGGGGGGG